AATCAATGTTTTGTTTTGATATATAAGTTGTTCGGGTTTTTTCATCTAAAAAAAGTGACATTAATTTCTTGACGACCTAATATTTCAACATTTTCATTCTATCAGTCTAACAAACCACCAACGGAAAGATTGTCTAAGCCTTTAACAATTTTCATATCTCAATTAAGTCTCTCCTGATTCTTCTGCACTCAAAAGACGATTCCTCTCATTCGAACACAAACAACGTAAACCAGGTATCATTCTATAGCCCATCTCTGCACCTTTCCAACATTTTAATATACAAAAAGGAAGGATACTAGACTTCAACTGAAGTTTTAGTCTTAAATTCAAGATTCATACAAATAGAGCCAAAACAATAAATGATTTCCCATATGTAGACACTCACCAAATGGATATGGTTTTGTCAAAAATGTCATCTTCTCTTCTCCCATAACATCAATGGCTCTTTCATCACACAAGAAACCTTCTTCAAAATTCCAGTACGTTACAATTATTAATATTAAAACTCATATTCTATATATCTTTTCATTTATTAAATTTATCAAAATTTTTTTGAATAACTAAACCATTATTAACAGAATCAGCTCTTCCTGGCTTTTCAATACCAACAGCAAGTTTAGAAATATCATCACCTAGGAAAAGATCCATATGGTTAAGATAACTAACAAGTAAAGAATGTTGTAGACCATTAGGACCCCATTAGTCATCACCCACCTTATTAAGATAACTAATGAACAATAAAAGTCATAAAACATTAGAACCCCATTAGTCATCACCTATATCATTAAGATAACTAATGAGCAAAATTCATAAGACACTAGAACTCCATTAGTCATCATCTATATCATTAAGATAACTAATGAACAATAAAAGTCATAAAATCTAATGTTTTATGACTTTTATTGTTCATTAGTATCTTAATGATATAGGTGATGACTAATGGGGTTCTAATGTTTTATGACTTTTATTGTTCATTAGTTATCTTAATGATACAGATGATGACTAATGGGTTCTAATGTTTTATGACTTATTGTTCATTAGTTATCTTAATGATACAGTTGATGACTAATTGGGTTCTAATATTTTATGACTTTTATTGTTCATTAGTTATCTTAATGATATAGGTGATGACTAATGGGATTCTAACGTTTTATGACTTTTATTGTTCATTAGTTATCTTAATGATACAGTTGATGACTAATGGGTTCTAATAACCCCATTAGTCATCAACTGTATTAAGATAACTAATGAACAATAAAAGTCATAAAATATTAGAACCCAATTAGTCATCATCTGTATCAAGATAACTAACGAACATTAAAAGTCATAAAATATTAGAACCCATTAGTCATCAACTGTATCATTAAGATAACTAATGAACAATAAGTCATAAAACATTAGAACCCATTAGTCATCATCTGTATCATTAAGATAACTAATGAACAATAAAAGTCATAAAACATTAGAACCCATTAGTCATCAACTGTATCATTAAGATAACTAATGAACAATACAAGTCATAAAACGTTAGAATCCCATTAGTCATCACCTATATCATTAAGATAACTAATGAACAATAAAAGTCATAAAACATTAGAACCCCATTAGTCATCAACTGTATCAAGATAACTAATGAACATTAAAAGTCATAACACATTAAAACTCCATTAGTCATCACTCTTTGCTTTCTAACTTCATCAAGTCAATTTTCTATCCACTTTTTGTCCATTTCCACATTCACCCAACTTACTAACCAATCTTTTATAAATTCAGTATACTTAAACAAAATAAATAGAATTCATATAAAAAACATTATAAGGCAAGAAAAACCCTATTTTAAAACCATGCTGAGAATCTGTAATTAGAAGCCAACTTTCCAAATAAACTAAAACCTTACTAAAAGTTAAACCAATCTTCCAATAATCAGATATTTCCACTACTAACAAGAAAAGCTTCGAATCATCAGATATGTTGTCAATAAGATCCACCTGAATATTACACTCAACTTTCCTCACCAGTAAAACAATAACATTTTTTACATGCTGAGTAGGACAACAGTACTTGAGTGATTCTTCAACTTCATGTAAAAACCCAAACTAACTCTATCAACTTCTCTAAAATAAAATCCTCTGATAACGACACTAAGAAGAATAATTCTACTGGAAGCATAACTAATCCACCAGTGCACATTTCTACCAGTGTTATCAAGTTGATCATGTCCCCTCTGAGCAACAGTGTTACCAAATTGATCATGTCCCCTCTATACAATGGCAAGCAGCATCCTTTTTTTTTTTCAGGGCCCTTAATCAAAACAGATTTAAGTTGTTTTTTTCAGGACCTTTACTCAAAACAGATTGTATTTCTTTTTTTTTAGAACCCTTAATTAAAACAGATTATAGTCCTTTTTTTAGAATCTTTACTCAACCAAATTGTAGTTCTTTTTTCAACAATATCTTCTGTCATAACAATTTCAACTCACTTCTTAGGAATGAAGCTATTAATTTATTTCTTTTCTACACTATGTCCTTAAAAGAGACTTTGAAATCTACTAAAAAGACATTTTTTCTTCATTATAATTACCCAAGAATCTGTAATATCAATAACATCAAAGAGTTTAATTACTGTGAACAAAACTTCTAATTCTAGTAACTTCTTACAAAGATTTATAAAATTAAGTGTGAAAAAACTATGTTTGTTTTAATATCTATATGATTGTATAATCAATTTACTCAAATATCCACAACATGATCACCTCTTTTAAATCTTGATTTATCTTGCCTCTCTTTAAACATATTCAGGCCCTAATAAAATCATTCAAACTGTAATTAAACTGATGGAATAAACAGAACTTTAAAGAGTTTATACTGAAATCACAAATAGAAACAAATAAGTTTTGTACTTGTGAATTCTGTAAATCAATTCTTTAAGGCTAACTTGTTTCAAACAATTAGTCAAAAAGATAAATTAGTTATGGGTAAATGGTTAAAATCTGAACAAACCTCTCTACTCTTAGGTTCTAGCATTGCAAGAACTTCCTTTGTCATGACTGGTTTGTGTCTTTGAACTGGATCAGCATGATTGGGAACTACCTGAGATCTTATGTCATAGGATAATGGTCTAATACCAGCAGCCAAACTTTTCAATCTCAAAACTCTCATTCCTGTAGCACACAGATGTGTAATGTGTCTACCAGCAGATTCCATGTTCATGATTTATCAAGTCATGAAGCTACAGCATTACTATAAAAAGAAATGTATGTTAAATGTGCTAACATACCAACCAATATTATATACATGCAATTATTATATTTCTACAAAAAAATTTCTACGCTATTAACATAAAAAAATGAACATATGTGTGATACATTAAATTTCTATTTCATTATAGAAGTAGAATAACATTTCATTGATAGATTGTTTAGCCAAAGTATTCATGATGAGTACACTGTAACAAGTGGTAACTACCTGTTGTACAAAAAATGTGTAGCAGATAATGATTCGAATCATCATCCTCTATCCTTGTGTTTTTTCTATAACAGGCAGTTGATACTCATTCTAGTGTGCTCAACAGTTTTGATTCTTTAAGTTCTTTAATACAAACGAAATTTCCATTCCTTGGTTGCAGAATTCTTGTCCCATGAATAATTATTTTATTCTAAAAATAACTAACATGTATTATGTTTATACCTGAACAATTTCTATATTATTAAAAATGAAAAACATTGGTGTGTTTTTACTCTTACAACATAGACAGATGTGGTCCTTCATGGCTATGTTTACAAACTACACATCTACTCTTTATATCTGAGGAAACTAATTGTCTTCTTATGCTCCTGTAAACTGTTGGAATCCACTTCTGAAGATAACAACTCATTCCATAAGTCACTCACCCTATTAGAAGCCTTTACTGAAGCCTAACCTATCATTTTCAAATATTAAACTTGTCTAAAACCGTTAAATAAATTGATGTTGTTGATGCAACATTTATTTTTGTATTTAACAGGAAAAATGGTAGAACTAGGAGACACGAATATAACTTTTAGCAGAGTAGGAGTCATCTTCAGCTAAGACAGTTATACATTTTTTTAAAAGGTAACTTGGAATAGTTGCTTTCACATATGATAAATGTAGTAAACAAGGAAAGGCTTCATAAATATTAAATGGCTTTGAGATTTTTTTAAAGTTTAGTTTAACTCAATTACATCCTCTTCAACTCTTACATTTAACATACTTAAAAAAAAACATTCTTGGTGTTAATTTTGACAGCAAGCTGTTTCTTAAACAAGTTACAAAAGAAAGGGAACTTGGTGTAATGGTTAATTAGTCTCTAAAGCCATCCAAGCAGAGTTGTTGTTGCTAGTGGTAGGGCAAATAGGATTTTAGGTTGTATCTACAGAAATATTGAATACAAGTCTACAGAGGTTGTAGTTTCATTGTACAGGTCACTGGTTACACCAAATTTGGAGTGTTGGTTCAGTCTTGGACTCCTTACCATAGGAAGAACATTGAATTGTTGGAAAGGGTTCGTAGGAGGGTTACTACTACTAATACTAGAATAGTACCTGGGATGGAAGGGTTATCATATGAGAGACTGAGATCTCTTAAATTGTTTTCTCTTGATAAAAGAAGAGTTAGAGGGGATTTGATTGAAGGATTTAAAATTGTAAAGGGGATTGACAGTGTTTATGCATAATATTTTTTCATACTTAACAGTAAGAATAGTAAGACTAGGGAACACAAGTATAAGTTTTGGCAGGGTAAGAGCCATCTTCTGCTAAGACAGTTATATTTTTCTAACAGGGTGGTTGGCCTTTGGATGTTGCAGATAATAAATTTAAGTGAGTTTAGGATAGCTTGATAACTATTTTATTATTAATGATATGGGCTGGCTATAAGGTTTTTGTTTTGTTTTCAAATTTATTTATTTAATAGTTTAGTTTAGAGGATGGGAAAGCCAAAATGGACCAATACTGACAACAGATCCTTTGCAAGTTTGTTGTCCCTAAACATTATGTTAAACAATTTTTTTTTTTTTGTCTATGCTTATCTAGAATGTGATTTAACCAGCTTAATAACTGAACTCCACTATACTACTTTATAATAATATTAATTCACATTATAAATTTAAGTTAAAAAATAAGCAAATAAATTGATTGTATGTATGGACCATTTATTATTCGTAATATTATTGTATTTTGCAAAACAGTAACACTAACAGGCAATATCAGGTTTTTATAAATCCGAATTTCTGAATTTAAGTTAAACTTAATTTTTAATATATTAATGACTACAATTTTTGAAATTAAAATATGACATACTAGTACAACTTAAAATCAAATATCAAAAGTATTTAACATACTAGAATTAAGTTTAGCTGATGTTAGTTCACCGCGTTTAAAAATAAGTTAAAATACTACGGCAAAACATATTACATAATTTAAATTTACGTCACACTCGTATTCACCTAAAACTCAAAGTAAAACATAGCGTAATATTATTATTAGTAGTAATAATAGTACATTACATAAACTAGTAGTAGTACTCTGACTATTATTATTACTATTACTGTTAATACTGAGTAATACTAATTAATACTCAGTAATACTAGTACTAATTGTATTAGAATAGTAAGTCTATAGACTCAAGTACAAAATAAAAAAATCAAAACGTTTAGTTTGAATACCGTTTTCATATTTCACTTCGTTTTTAAAACCTGCATTTAGCTGAGACAACGAACAGCAAATCAAAAAACGGATTCAGTTATGAAATATAAGATATCAGATATATTTTCTTTGTTTAATTCATAGCAGAAGATTCGTACATTCAACTTCAAAGTTTTCAACAGTGTCGTCGACTGTATTACCACCTACAAATTTTGTACAGTGGTTAGTACAAGTATTAAAATTAATTTACGGTTTTCAAGCCAATAGCCAGCGAAATAATAAAACTAATACACTCAAAATTTGTGACAAAAATCGCGTAAACTGCGAATGTTTTTTTTTTATGGCATGCCTCTTGTCTATCTTGGATTCAAAATCAAATTTGTGACTAAAAATATAGACTAAAATGTTTTTTTTAAAAAGTATCGAGACTATAACTGACAAGTAGGCGTTCTTTAACAATTGTGGAAGTTATGGGGTCGTCAATGAGAATATTTAAGTTTTGCTTGATGATATGGGCAAATTTTGAGGTATTAGGATGGTAAGTAAAGATAAGTGGTATCGAGAATTTGTAGACTTGGATTTAGGTCTTCGGGTGTATTCTCGTGTTACAGAGTGGGTAAGTATTGGGGTAAGAGCGACAGATAAAGAAATCTTTCATATATTCAGATTTCGACTCTTTATGATTTGTTCACTGCAGAGTCTACACAGTGTTAGGTACTAGGAAAATAGAAGATACTGGAATGTACGACATGGATGGGAAGAGTCGTAGTGTGGGTAAAAATGTGAATCATTGGGTTCGTAGTGTACTGATGTTGATTAATGACGGTTTTCAATGAGATGAGAATGTCTAAAATGTCTTAGCTCTTGGAGGAAACTGTCTGTGTAAAGGCAAATGCGGGATGGGAGGAGGAAACTAATTGTAAAAATCTAATTAAGTTGCACAAGGGTGTGCTGGTCACACCAACAATGTCATCAAGATAACTCTTTGTTAAGTATTGTTCTACTCATTTCTTTTCTTCATTTAATTTATTTAATATGATTTAGAACTTGTCCTCGAACCACATGTTACTTGTTCTTTTTGCTTTCTTCCTAACTTATCTATTGACTGTTTTGTTCTGACTAGAAACCCGAGAATAGCGAGTGTTTCATCATTAATATATATTTTCTACTTCAGAAGTATGTTTAACTATTAGTGTTTGAATTCTAGATTCCCGATATTCGTTTTCAAAAATAACAGTTGTTAAAGAAAATTAATTGTGAATATTGTCATACCCATACTTTGATTATTAATCATTTTATGTTTATTTTGGCGGGAATTTATTGATAAACCACGTGGGTTGTAGTTACCATGGCGGAGCAGATGGAGGGAAGCCTTTGTAATGAAATAGTTAGTACTCACTTTCCGGAATACCTTTTGCCTCAAATTTTAACAAATATTACTGTATATTTTGAATAGGAACCTTAATTTTAGTCTGTTGTTGGTGGATTATTCATAAAAAAGTGTTTAAAACAGGAAATTTTATAGTTTAGTTGTAATGTAACGCTAACATGGATTGTGTAAATTATTTTCCGAACGCCATTAGCACAGAATATTTAGCTTAAGCCTAATTTAACGTTAGGCCTAACAATGGAATATGTATTTAATGAAATAGTAAATTATCGGATCTATACGGTGTACGATACTTTAGCTTTGTATATATATAATGAATTACTGAATATATAAATTAATTATTTGTTTTTCGTAGGGTTATTAAATGTCTTGATGGATGCATGAGCTAAACGAAAGTGTAAACTTAAATTTGCCAGAAAACGTCCTACTCCTAGTATAAATAGTTAATTCGATGACGAAGAACCCACTTTGAGACTAATAATGGTTGGAGATGGCTTGAATAGGCAATGAAGAAAAACTTTTATATAAGTTTAACATAACAGCAAATGTACAACGTTTCGACAAGTTTTTGTCATCATCAGGTATTAAAGTTTTTCTTCATTACCCATTCAAGCCATCTCCAACCATACTTAGTTAATTATTTTTATTATTTAACCATTTGACTGCTGATTCACCGTATACAGTATAGGATACGGTCTGCCTCCGACAGTTGAATTCGATTCTGCTGTATATGGTGGACGTCTTGTAATATTTTTGCACGTGTGTAAAGCAGCCACTGTTTAAGGGTTAAGTTAATATTAAATTATTTTAAAATAGTGATGATATTATTATTAGTAGGTTTTGTTGAATTTTAAATAGCAAAAATAACAAAAAAGATACACATTTTTGGATTTCACAGTAAAAAGTAGTAGATGTAAACTGTAGTTTGAATTATGCAGTTAACAATTAAGGAAAAACAATTAATAATTGTATTTGTAAGTTGGCCTTTCAGTTTTACACCACGCAAATGTCTAATTGAAACAATGCAAATAAATTGCTTTACATGGTAATTTGAGACATTGTATGACATTTGCAACAATGTAACTCTAATGAAATGAAAACTGTTAACTGTCAACAACCAAATGTTAAAAATCAAGTATGAAATTACATATTTACCTATTAAAGTAAAAAAAGTGATTTTGTATTCAAGTGGTTTCGTGATTGACAGATGCCTATCTGTTATGATGTAAAGCAAACTTGTCAAGGCAGTGTACTATATGCTTACATTTCAAATTCTTTTTTTTTTTTGACATGCTGTCTGTTAGAATTTTGCACAAAGCTCATTACATGGCTTTGTTTCTTCAAACAAAGTTTTATTTGTGTGTTTTCAAATAGAAAATGCTTCTGAATACAAAAAAAACCACTCAGAACTATGAAGAGAACTAACATTTGATATATTACTGACTCTTATTTGGCTAGTGCTTACTCACTCACCTACATCTTGTTTTTGGTGCTAATATTTGCACATTGGTCACCACCAAATGTCAGAAGAATGTTTAGTGATCGTGATGATCTTATTATAGCTGATTTATAAATAGTGGGAGTACGGATGCCTTGAAATAAACAGTGTAAACTCAGCATGTAATAGTATTGTAGACTTTTTTTTTATCTGTAGTTTGGTGTACAATAATTTAGAATTTTAATCATGGGAGATATATACATTTGTAATTGTGATTTCACATTCAGATACTTCTGTAGCTGAAAACTATAATTCTTTTGGAATCCCTAATTTTAGTACTTGCTTCTATTCTAGGTTTATTCAAGTTCAAAATAAATACAATATATTCAATATAAAAAACATAATAGCATACAAATTATATACAATTGTTCAACTAAGAGTGGATCATAAGTAAATAAAAATAATTATTTAATTTCCTTAATTACATATTATGCAATTTAAACCCATTTTAGTATGTTATATTTTAATACATATTTTTGTACTCATACTTTTTATATTTAAATTTTATCTATAAAGTATAATTACTCTTTCTATATGAGTTTCTTTCTTACTGACTTTATATTTTTATTACTAGTATTTGGTTATTTTGACATTAGTGATTTATTGTTTTGTTCTTGATTTCATCAATTAATAATCATTTGATTTTTTACATCAGTACAACTTACTGGCCGTTAAATATGTCCTTGTAGTTGTAAAATTCATAATTATTTTCAAATATTTAAGCTTCAGAAAAGAATTGTATGTTGAGGATTACCAGTAAAAATTCCCTTAAAATTATTATACTTTTAACCAGACGATAAGATGTTAAGTATAGAACAGTTATAAAAGGTACATATAAATGAGATGTTTTGTTTTTATTAACTTTGATTTATTTAAGGTGTCAACCACAGAAGGAAGCACACCAAAGACAATGGCAGCAGGAGATTTTAATTTCAGTTCTGAACTATCTAAGTCTCAGAAATTCTGTTGGAGATGTCAGAAGGAAATGGATGGACTGACTACCTACAAACCAGAAGAAATGACATCTAAAGACTATTATTTTGATTCCTATGCTCATTTTGGCATTCATGAAGTAATTTCATATGTTTTATAAATTGTTTGGGGACTTAGGTGTAAATTTGTTAATCAGTATTAAATTTAGGTAGATACATAATAAAACTAAAATGAAATATTAGTACACGGCACCTGGAAACGATCTTTCAAATACTAAATACTTGACAGTCCATAAATTTGAATATTGATAAGCTACTAAAGCAAAGATAATTGATAATAATAATATCAATAATAATGGTAATAATAATAATAATAATACTAATGATAATTTAAAAAAAATATTATCACAAATTATATATACACTGAGTGGTCACAAGTAAATAGACACCTAATTTTTCGTCATCTAACTGATTTATGCTAACTAATTTGTGTTCACAGAGCACTATATAAATGAAAATGGTCCGCACACTAATTATCTTGTCACTACAACATGCCTAGAACTCAAGGTTCTCT